GGGGAAGAGGCGGGCTCTGTGGCAGAACCCACGACCGCCAGGATGGGTGCTGGGTGGTTGGGGTCCTGCAGGCACAAGGCTGCAGGGACCTTTCTGGGAAGGCTGAGGGAAGCCAGCCTCTGGGTCGGGTCTCCCCCAGGCACCAGATGCCCCAGGAGGGAAACCTGGCTCATCCTGAAGCGTGGAGTGTCAGAGCTCCATGCTCCTGCCTGGTACAGGAAGCCTTGGCTTCATCCAAGACTCTTCTTGGAGATGGGAGGACAGTTCTCTTGGGCCGAGAGCCTCTCACCACAAGGCTGTGCCCAGATGATTGGGATGCAGGGCCCTGACTGCTTTTAGCTGCTCTCTCCCCAGCTCCTGCAAAGGCAGGGTGCCCAGCTCCTGGCCCAGACCCGCAGCCGGGCCTGCTTCCATCAGTGGAAACAACAGGTGGGAGCCAACGAGAAACCCCTTCCCCCTCCCACTGCCTCCTGAACCCACATTTATTATTTTTATTTATTTAATCTCTATACCCAACATGGGGCTCAAACTCACGACCCCAAGATCAAGAGTCACATACTCCATGGCACCCCCTCATTTAAAATTTTAAAATTCCACCCTTGTCTGAGGGCTCCCCCAACCCTGGTCATTTCCCGGCACTGCCCAGTTCCTTCCATCTGTGACCTATACAAGCCCATCACTTCAGGGCCCTGTTTCTACAGTGTCACATTAGGGTAATATCCAAAAATTAATATGAATGCATTTTAAGTCTTCACCAAGGACATGCTAAAACACCAGGCAGGGCTGCATCATGCCCAGCAGACCTTCATGTGCCCAGCACTCTGCCCCCACTTGCTCCCTTCCCCCAGAGCTCTGCCTTTGTTCTTCCCAGAGGATCACTCCTTGGTCCATCAACTCAGGGCCAGGCAGCGCTGGGCCTTTCCCAGTGGAGGGAGGGCAGCCTTACTAGAAAAGGGTCTCAGAGTGACCAGGTCCCTGTGGTCAGAGTGGCCTCCCTGACTTCCATAATCTTCTTTTTCTGGCCCATAGCTGGCGAACAGGAGGCGGGAGCAGCAGGGCACAGCCCGGGCCCTGTGGTTCTGGTCCTTCTCACTACAGGCAAAGGTAATAGGGGCTCCACACCCAGCTGTCCCTGTACGCCTTGGTGGAGGCCAGGGTGGGTCATGGGCACAGCCCTGGGGGGAGCCTTAAGCAGGGAGAACTGGGCCTCCTTGCCTTCTCTCTCTGGAGGTGTGGGCCTCGTGGCTGGGCTTTGTGCTGGAGAGGAGAAGAAAGAAGGCGCGTCAGGAGCAGGCCATACAGGCCTACCACCGGCAGCTCCTCCGGGAGGGCGCCACACGCCTTTTACGGTTCGCGGGCGGCATGAAGGCCCTCCGGCAGCAGCTGCATGCCCAGCAGTGGGCGCAGGTGAGGGTCCCCCGCTTTCTCGTGGGGAGCGGGTCAGGCACGGCACAACTTGACCAGAGGCTTGTTGCAGGCGGCTCACAGTCTCCACCGTGCGGTCCATCGCTGCGCCATGCTCTGGAAACAGAAGGTTCTGGGCCAGGACAGGGAGACTCGTCCCCCCACATCCACCATGCCCAGCAGGAGAGTGACATTTGACAGTCCCCTTTCCACCTATGTTGCGGCTGGGGCTGGGGATGCTGCTCCGGAGACCAAGAAGCCACCAGTTCCTCATGAGCCCTGGGGGGCTCGGAGTAGCCTGTCCCTGGCTGCTTGGGACCCCCACCTCCTAGAGCTGTGAGTAGCCCATCTCTCGCTGCTTCCTCCTTGCTTTTTGCCTGGAGCAGAAATTTGCACTATACAAGGAAGGAGGTCCCAGCTGAACCGTGTGGACCCCTAGCAGGATCCTGTCCCTCCCATTCCATCAGCCCCAAATAAAGGGACCACAGCCTCTGTTCCTGCAGAACGTGGGGGAGAGAACATGTAGTTTTTAAAAAAGGAATCGGCTGTCGGGCAGCTCCGCCTCACGCCCCCAGACCTGCCAGTCACCCTCCTTCTCCTCTTCCGACCAGGAAACCCCACTGTTTGTAACCTGGCCCATCCCTGCACACTGGGCTCCCAGAGTGACCGGCACTGCCTGAGCCTCAGTCTGCTTCCCTTGGCACCAGATCCCAACAGGGCCTGACCCGGAAGAGTGTGCTCCCCCTCTGATGTGGGAGGGGCACCTGTGTCACTGGGTAGCTGCAGAGGTCAAATGAAATGAGGCAGGTGAGGCACCCCCACGATATCAGGCTCACTACATTGGAATTACTGAAAGTACTCTGTGGCCCAGGCCCACTCCCTGTCACCTGCAGACCTTAGGCCAGCAGTTTGTTTCCCTGTAAGACTGGAGGGGTGGGACTGGATGCCCTGGGTAGGCAAGAGGAATAGGCCTGTTTTTCTTCCCAGCAATGATGCCCGCTTGGCAAGAAAGCAGCCTCGACGCCCACATTTCCTGCTGGAGCCGGTGCCGAGCCAGAGGCCCCTGGGGTGTGGCACCCTTGGGGGGAAAGGGTATATGGTGTGGTCCTAGGGTGGGTGGCTTCCTTTCCTTCCTGCTCCTCAGGCAGGTACCAGGGCCTGACCAGCTCCTGTCGTCCCTCTGCTTAGGCCCAAGGCACCACAAGAATGTGACTCAGGCATGGCCCAGCCAGCAGGCCCTGCCCTGATGAGGCCTTTCCTGCCAGCAGCCTGGACAGCCCTGGTCCCAAGCAGCCCCCTGCCCCAGCCCAAGGCCCTTCTGAGTCACCCTGGCCCAGAGCTGCCCCCCGCGTTGAGTACAGGACCAGAGCTGCTGCCCCCTTCATCCTTTATGCCATGTGTGGTGGAAGTCCCTGCCAGGGTAAGTTCTCCTGTCACCTGGGGTCTTGTTCTTTGGTCTGGCCTTCAGTGCTCTTACGCTCTCAGTGCTGTAGCCACAGATGTACTCACTGCTTCCAGAGCACTACTGGCTCAGGGAGATGGAGGGAGGCCACTCATGCCTTCACCAAGTAGAGGTGCCCCTGCCCTAGGGACACAGTAGGGAAAGGCTGCTGGGCCCCTGCTTGTGAAGCTCATGTCGCAGAGGTGGGGACCAAAGAAGAGCCCTGGACGTGGATGAAGACACTGCAGATCACAAGGGTCCTGCAGGCCCAGGGGAAATACCTGGATTTTCAGTAGAAAGCCATGGGGGCCAGTTGGCAGCTGTGATCCCATGGGCCAGCACAGGGTGCCAGGTGCCATGATTAGGTGGTGACTGTGGCTGTGGGCAGAGCCCATCGTGGGAGGCAGGCTAGGCAGGACCTGCTCCGATGGGTTTGATAAGGGTGAGGAAGGAATCCAGGATGGCCTTTGGACTTCTGGCTTGAATAACTTCAAGAATAATGAGTTCCTTACTGAAAGAGGGAAAATGGGGGGTGGGTGGGGGGAGAGGCCTGCTTGGGATAAAGCGTGAACTGGTTAAATTTGAGATAAAGCAACAAGATTCTGAGTGTGGCCTTCGGGAAGGTGGTCAGGGCTGGGGAGCAAAACTGAGAGTCTGCAATGTAGTTGTTGAAGGTAAACCCCTGGGAACCAAACAGGTCGCCTTGGAGAAGGCAGCGGCTCCCTGGGGCATATGACAGCCAGATGGAGGAGTCTGGGCAGGGACAGCAAGGGGGTGCAAGAAGGCACAAGTGCTCAGTAATAGAGGAGACAGCAGCAGAGTTGGGGCCCCCCAAGAGTTGGTGCCCAGAGAGCTGGTCGAAGGTCACCAGTAGAGGAAGGGAGGGTTGGGGATGTGTGGTCTGACCAGGACAATTGCCCTGGACCACTTTTCCTCACTGAAGTGTAGGGGCACAGCTCAGAATGGGGTACGGGTCAAACAGCTGCTCAGGATGGGCTGAACCAGGCCCTAGGGTAGGGGTGGGACTGGACTGCACAGGTGTAGGGTGTTCCTTGCACTGCTTGTGCAACTTCCTCATGTCAGGTCTGAAGAAAGGGGCAGGGCCAGGCCCGGCCTGGGTGAGCTGGTCAAGTCCAAGACCTCACCCGCCCCCCATACCCCTGCAGTGGGCGACCTGGTGCCTCTCCCCCAGCCTTCCTCCCTGCTTCTGTGTTCATCTGTTCTCCCTTTACAGGTATCTGCACAACCCACCACCCCTGGGCTGACACGCCAGGCCTCGCCATCCCCAGCCAGTGTCCCTCACTCCCGCCTCCTGCTTCCTGGGAACTTCACAGGCACGGGGCCTGGGGCTGGCTCCACAGCCACATGGGTGCACCTGAAGCCTGACAGCACTGTAAGTGCTCAGGCCACTCCCAGTACCTGGGATCCCTCCACTCAGCCTTGGCCTAGCCGCAAGGGTGGTCAAGATCCAGCTTGTTCTGTCACCAAGAGCCACATGGACCTGGAGGCTGAGCTTGAGAGCATCCAGAAGCAACTGCAGGATTACCAGACCATGAAGCAGAACCTCTCGTAAGACCCAGAACTCTCCCTAGCTGTTTCCCCAGATCTGGCCGTGAGGGTCCTTGGGCCCACCCAAGGTGCTTGCACAGCTGGGTGGGGGAGAGTGGGGGAGGCTGGCAAGGAACAGCTCTACCCTCCTCGAGCCTCCCACCCCCAGAAGTAGCAGATAGGCTGCTTCCCTACCTGGAGGCAAACAAAGCCAAGGGCCTGGACAGGCTGGCAGCATGTGTCTCCCTCTGGCAGGTCCTGCCAGCGACAAGCAAAAAGCCTGCGCCGGTGGCTGGAGCTGAGCCAGGAGGAGCCCAGGCCTGAAGACCAGGAAGCAGAGCGGCAGGTGCAGGAAGAACTACAGGAGGTGAGGCCCCAGGCAGCCCTGGCACAGCTTCCCCCACTCCCCTCCCCTGGTCCCCCACACAGCCTCCCCGCCCCCTCTCCCCAGGTGGAGCGGCAGATCCAGCAGCTGGCCTCTGAGCTTCAGGCCCAACGCCAACCCATCCGTGCCTGCATCGCCCGGGTCCAGGCCCTGCGGCAGGCTCTGTGCTAGTCATTGCCCCAGGGAGGCCTCAACCCACCTCCAGGAACAGAACGCAAAGCTGCAATGAGTTTTATTTTTTATTTCAAAAGGTTGCAATTAAATGAATTACTGTTCAGAAGTCTCCCACTTTTCATACAAAAATACTGTGCTACTGATACAGTTGAAAGAGTTCAAATGGCTTCTCCTGCAGGAGAAATTCACAGCGTCCCCGGGAAACCTGAACCCCGGCCCCCCCTGTCAGTGGCTCCCTAAGGACTGTGTACCTGTTACCTGGGGACAGGTGTTGTAGGCACTGACACCCCCACACACACACCACGGCTCTACTGCTGCCAACACAAGCTCCTGAATCAATAGCAGCAACTTACCATGTTTCTGTGGGTCTGGATATGTGGAGGGGGGGGCATCCCCCCCACACCAGGCCACCACTACCTGCCTGTCCATTCACTCTGGACCCATTCGGGGGGTGGGGGTTCAATAACTGGCCTTGCCTACTAGAACGATGTCTCACCAGCTCTGGAAGGTCACTCACTGGGGCGTGTAGAGCGCCACCCCCTCGGTCCCCCTCAGAAGATGCTGGCGGAGTCAAAGATGATGTGTTCACAGCCACAAATGCAAGGAGAAAGCTCTTCCCAAACAAGTGGGGGGTGAATTGGGAACAGAAAGCGGTTGTGTTAAAGGCCACATGGCGCTGCTCTGGGGGCAGCAAAGCCTGGTCAGTGCAGGGGAGGCAGAGGGGAGGCTGAAAAGCAATTATGAGAGCAGCAAGAACAGATACAACCACTTCTGTCTTACAACAGAAATCAAGACCAACTGAACACCCAGCCAGGAGACGTAGGGTCTCCAGTTTATACAACAGATTAAAAAGAGTCTCCAAAAGGGAATCTGAGATCACCTTGACCTGCATGTTCTCTTTAGATGGGAAGAGGGAGGATGTAGGTCCAGGGCCAATAAGGGCTCTGACCTCACCCACACCTCAGGACGGTAGGAACTAGTCACCCAGGTCCCGCCTGGTCGGGCTCCATAGCCCTGAGACTGTCCCCTCCCTATACAGCCTTGGAGGCTCCCCAAAAAGACCCTCCCGTTTCTGTTGAGAAAGCTCCTTCAGCAGCCGACGTCAGGAAGAAGGCTCTAGAGGGAGCCCAGAGCCTCTCCGAACCGGATCTTCTGTCCCGCTTTCAGCTTAAAGTTGAAGTCCTTGGGGGCCTCAAAGATGAGCACGATGGTGGAGCCCAGGTTGAACTCGCCCAGGTGCTCGCCCTTGCGCATAGGGATGCCCTCCTTGTTGGTGTGTGTCACGAAGCTGAAGTCATTGTAGGAGCCCTTGCTGTAGCGTGGGCTATTCGTGTGCAGGTCCTGCAGGAGGCCCAGGGTAGAGCATGTGGAGTCTGCTCCTGGACCGCGAACACCTCTGTGCTGCCTCTCCCTAACCCAGCCTGGAAAGGGAGCTGGGCACAGCGACTTGGCCCATAAGCCTAACCAGAGAGTCGCCAGTAGAAGCTGTGAACTGGGACCGGGGGGGACACAGAGGATTCAGATCCCACCCTTCTCTAGCACCCAGAACAGGTAAAGGGCAGCCATAAGCTGATACCAAGAAAGGCAGCCCTGCCCCCCCGCTTCTCAGGGAGGGATGGCCACTAGCCACCCCCTCAGACACTGCCTTCTGGTCAGCATGCTCCACTCTGAGCTCCATATTCCCCTTGGGTTCCCAGCAGAAGCAAAGTACAGGCTGGGAGGTGAACCCCCTCCCTCTCCAGCCATTTCCAGATAAGCAATGATAGCCTATAGGGGTGGGGGCTGGCAGAGCAGGGCCAAGCCCCTCCTTGGGGCAACTGTTCCGCAGAGCCAGGCCTGGCCAGGGACACGCTCTTCTAGAACTTAGTCTTAACAGATCTGGCTCCATGGGAGAAGGGGTGGGGGAGACACCAAGTGGCCCAGCCCTTGGGCCTGACTCTGCTTACCCTGTCAAAGTAGATGCGTATGGAGCCCACATTGGTAGCCCCCACAGCTGTCAGCGAGAAGAAGCCGTGTTTCCAGTCCCCAGTGAGGACCACCCGCTCGTTGTGGCAGAAGAGCTCTTTGATCCAGCGTGCCATACCAGGGTTCACAGACATCAGGGAGCCTGTAGGAGTAGAGACACTGCCATTCCCCACCCAGCAAGAAGACCAGCCTCACAAAGCCCCCGTCCACCTATATCCTTCCAAATGCAGAGTGGGCTAGACCCCAGACTGCCCCCGCTGCCCTCATGCAGCCAGACTAAAGCAGTCACCTCACAGCCTCAGCGCTCCAAGTGTGGAGCCTCGGTCCCCTGACACCAAAAAAATTGTAAGGCTCTAGCCAACCTGGGAAATGGCGCCGGTGGGAAACGGTCCAGTCAGTGGGGGAGTGGAAGCAGTGGTAGTCCCCGGGGGCCAGGTAGATGACACAGTGGTAAAGCTCATTCCCTTCTCTAGTGACCAGCTGGTTCCTGAAGGAGCCGCAGGGGGGTGCTGCAGGAGGCAGACATGAGGGCCAGCTGTCAGACAAGCACCTGAGCCTGTGCAGTCTGGACATGGGCTTCAGGGAGGCCCCAAAGCTCCACGAAGCGATTCCTAGCCCTTCCCTCCCCGATGACCAGCCCAGCCACACTGCCACAGGGTCTCAAGGCTGCCACCAGGCAACAACCCACCTGGTGGAAAGGACAGATCATCTGTGGAAGTACGTGGACCCAGGAACGACTCCAGCGAGTAGGTGACCCCCTTGACCTGCTCCACCTCGCAGTTCTTCACCTGCCCGAAGTTCAGGATCTTCCCATCTGAGGGGCTGATCTGGAAGGGCCAAGAGAGGCTTGCTACCAGGGAAGCAGGGGGGCTGGGGGCAGGGTCTCCACCTCCCTGGGGGCCCCAGCCGGGGAGGAGTACTCATGGGCCACCTGTGGGGACTGCTGGGACTGGTTGCCAAAGGCAAGGGCAAGAGTCCCATTTCCAGGGGAGGGATGGAGGGCAGGGCCAGGCCTCACCACGCTGTGCAAGCCACAGACAGGCCGGGCCTGCGGCTTCAGCTTGCGCCGGAAGAACTCGCTAAGGTTGCGGTAGTGGTGCAGGTCCTCCACGGCGGCCTCCTTCATGTTCACCCCAAAGGTCCAGATGTACAGGCTATAGACAGGCCGGCGCAGCCAGTGCGGCAGCTCCACCTGGTTGAGGCGGCCCCAGGCCCGCGACAGCAGGCGCGTGGGCACCGACTTGTACAGGGCCACCTGTGGGCCACAGGCAGGCAGATGAGCAGATGGCCCCGCGTGCCCCCCAGTCAGCCACCCACCACCCCCAGAGACGTGGGCACCCTGCCATGGCTTTGTGATGTGGTTGTTGCCCATTAGGAACCAGACTGAGCTTCCCAAACACTCCCACAAACTGAGTACTGGCCAAGACTGACACAGTGACTTAAACCCAGCGGTTTCAGTCACTCAGTGCACCAGTAGCAACTGCCCCCGTCCCTAAGAACACACTGACCGGCGAAGTCTGGTCTTCCCTCTTTAGGAAAGGTGGGGGGTGAACAGCTCTGCTACCTGCACCAAGAGGCTGTGGCAGAAAGAGGCAGGAGGGCCCGGGGGCATGGGAAGGTCTACAGCCCAAAGCACATGTTCTAATCTGAAGAGGAGGCAGAGGAAACCCCCCACAGCAGGTGCTCTGGACAACGGTCACCAGGGGCAGGCTGCTAGGGCTCTGAGGCACTTTACTGTGAGGGCACCGGGGGCTGCTTCCTGGAGGCAGAGGGGACTGGGCCCTGGCCTCCCCCAGCACCCCCGCTATCTGCTGGTACCCCCAGCCAAACCCTCAGGGCCAGGCGACCTGGAAGGGGATGCCTTTCAAGCCTCAGGTGCGGCTGCCACAGCAGAACCCGCCTCTAACTGGCAGCTGCTGCTTGTCAGCCCAGCCCAGACACCAAGTCCCTAGGGTGTAAAGGCAATTTCATTCCAACTTTAAACACCTCTACAGTGTAGTGAGTGAGTGGTGCCCCAAACTCTTCCCAGCTGACGCCCATGAGAGTCCAAGGTTCCCTGCCTGGGGAACCCTGCCCAGAGAGCCCAGGGCTAGGGAGCCGGGCAGCCCTCGAGGGTGCGGCGGCCAGGTCGCTCAGTCACCCAGCACTGCCTGGGGCTCCCAAGTCCATCCACACCCTAAGGGGCCCAAACAGGCATCAGTCCTCCTCAATCACCCTCTGGCACCCTGGAATTAATTTGCATTCTTCTCAAAATCACCTCTAAGCTCTCCTCTGCCCAAACACAGGAAATCAGACACCATTTTCTGAATTCCCAGTGTGGGTTCCTTCCAGAAGCAGAGCCCCCAAATGGCACAAGTGCAGGCAAGAACAGGCAGTGCAGAGCAGGCCATCAGGGCCACCAGCCTGCCTGGTCTTCCCAACCAACTTGCCTGTCAAAATGACCATCCCGGAGGGCTCAGCACCCACACCATCAGCTCTAATCTGACAAATGTCTCCTCTGTTTCTGTGGGCAGGGTCCCAACCTTAGGCCTACCCCTGGAGGGTGGGGAGACGGAGCTGGGCCAGCAGCCTGTGCACACTTACCCTGCTCACGGGCCTCCATCCCACCCGGCTGAGCGGTCTGAGGGCACCGAAGGGCAGGAGGTAGTAGAGGACCGTCAGGGGCCAGGAGCGCAGTTTCAGGGCAGGTCTGGACATACAGCTCAGCTGTCCCAGCCTCCGCCTCAGAGCCAGCTGGGGGAAGTGCAACCTGCAGAGCAGATGTCCATGCACAGCCAGGTCAGCCGGCAGGGTCTGGGAGGCCCCACCCCGCCCTCAGCAAGCCTGCCTTGAGGTCCCTCAACCCAACCCCAGGCTGAGGTGGGGGCTCATCTGCCTCTGTTCGGCAGACTCCCATCCCAGTCTCACCCACCTGCCTACCAGCTAAGGAGGACTAGGAATTGGGGTCAGCACAGGAGAGACGGGGTGCACAGCCTGCATGCCAGCCCCCCACTCCTGGGCACTCCTGGGGCCGGCTGTGGCCACAGGGGCACCAGGGGGAGACGGTTGGAGTCAGAGCCCCAGCGGTGCAGCAGCACACAGCAGTGGGGCGCAACTGCAACCACTGTGCGGTAGCATCTTGGAGAATCTTTTCCTGGCGCTAGGCCTCATTTCCTTATCTGATAAATAAAGGGATTGGGCCTGACAAGATCCCAAAGGAAAAGCCTAGGAACATGCACCTGCACACACGCATACCCTGAACAGCTAAAGCTCCATCCACCTGCCTGGTCTTTCTACATCAGATCAGGTTCTCCAAAGGAGACGCAGAGGCTGTGGGGGGAACCCCCATACCAGCCCTCAGAACACCTCCCAGGTCTGCTGGGGCCACATACCTGAGCCAGCCCCCTCCTTTTGACAAAGGTCCCCACCAGCCAAATTCAGTGCATTCTGCACAGGCTCAGCCTCGTGGGGAGCTTAGAGGCGGGGTGGACATTTCCACCAGAACCCTGGTTTCCTGAGACACAGCAGACCCAAGTCCCCTGGTCTCATGCCTCAGCACTAGGAAATGATCCTGAGGCCCAGTGCAGCCACCAGGCAACCACATTCCCATCCATTCTGGGAAGGTTCCCAGGCCTCAGTTTCCTCATCTGCGCAAAGACTGCATTCAACTGGATAATCTAAGGCTCCCATCTGCACCTTTGTGCTCTCAGAGAAGCGTGTCCTGTGCCCCCAGTTGCTGAACAAAGCAAGGAACAAAGAGGCATCTCAGCTGACACTAAAAAGAAAAAGTGGGAGAACCAAGCTGATGGCTGGGATGGCAATGGAAGATGCTTCTTTCCACAGCCCGCCAGGCTCCCTGTGTTCCTCTTCTCCCAGCCGACCCCACCCCACCCCACAGTATTTTCAAAAGGTCTGTTAAGGGGGTAGGGACCAAACAAAGCTGAACAAATCCCTGCTGTCCCCAGGGCTTCCCCCACCCGCCCTGATCACTGCAGAAGCCCAGGGACCAATCCCAGAAGAGCAGCCCCTCTCCCGGAGCTGGGGCGTGGGGGGACAATCGGGGTAGGGGGGCCTGGGAGCAGCAATTAGGGTGCAGCAGACACAAGGCCACCAGCCCACTCCGCCTCCCCCAGGTACCTGAAGCGGGCTCTCCGACTCAGGCCCCCAGGGCCGGGCCCCTCCAGCCTCGGGGGCTGATCCCCTGGCCCCCGGCTGCCACCTCCACCACGGGGCCGCTGGACATGAACTCTGACCTTCCGGAGGTTGTGGCGGGGCACAGAGGGGTTAGGACGGGGCCGGCAGCATCTCACCATTTCGCCGCTGCTCGGAGCTCAGGTCCTCGCCGTGCCTCTGACTGACACATGGTGGGCGGCGCCAGGCACACTCGCCTTTGTTTCTCCTCCTTCCTCCCTTCCCCCCAGCCAGGAGCTCCTGTGCTGTCACCACTCCTCTGGCTGGCCGCCTGGTAGCTGGTGGGCCTCTTCCCAGCTTGGTTGGGTCCCGCTGGCTCACGGGGCGCAGGTTAGAGGCCGGGGCTATTGCAAAGACAGGCACTGGTCACACCAGCTCAGGAAGCGGCAGAGACCTACCGCCTGGGACACAAGCCCCTGCCTTCTGCCCACTCTGTCCCTAGGCTTGGCTACCTGCCTGCTCCAGTGAGCTGATGGCAGGGAAGGGACCAGACGGTTATGAGCCCAAGAAGCACAAGTGGGAATCTTAGAGCCCTGTGCTCCAGGCGGGCGCCCAGCGTCAGCCTGTCTGCAGCTTGGGCAACCCCTCCCTCCCCAGGACCTGACCCATTTTCCATTCAGGTGACGAAGTAACATCTGAGGAATGAGAGAGCAGGAAGGCAAGAGAGGCACAGTGGGTGAGACGCTGGACATCTGACCTGCTAAGCTCTCTCTTTGCTGCCCCCCAGGCCTCAGAGCCTCCCATCCCTGATACCAACCCCCACAAGCCCTCCTCTGCAGATGAGCACGAACATGACCTGACCTGAAGGAAAACCAACCAGCACTGAAGCCCGAACCAGCCCCCCCCCCCCCCCCCGCAATCTTTGCTTTGGACAACACTTTGACTCTGCCTGGCGATCTGGGAGGACACGCCCAGCCTCCACAAGGCCCTCACAGATAACAGGGAAGGAGAACAAACATTCCACAGTTGTTGCTGTCTAAACCCAAGGGGAATCAAGGCCCCACCCAGCCTGGCCTCCAATCCCAACGGCAGGCTACAGGGGACAGTGCCGGCCACCATGGTTAGATGCAGAGATGCGGGCCCCAAGAGAAGCTCCCAAGGCGGAGAACTGACCCGGCCGTGGATGCAGTTCCAGGCCAGTGCTGACCACCCCCCACCCCCGCCACAGCCAATGGACTCACAGAGCAAGAGGCCCCACTTAGACATGGCTCCACCCACACTAGTGTGAAATGTCTGATGCCCCAGCAAAGCCACCTTAGCCAGAGGTGAAAAGGCTAGGCCCTGGAGGTTCGCGCTGAATCCCTGGGAGCGTAGTATGCAGAGGGAGACTGCACTGGGTCAAGACTGACGGAGGTCCGAAAGCAAAGCATGGATTTCCAGCCCCGACCAAGGAAGTGGCAAAGCCTGGGCAACCCCAGGCCCAGACCCCTCCAGCAGAGATCATCTTCCCAGGCCACTTGCCTGGGTGGGCAGAACGGCTCACTGAGGATGAGCCAGGTGGGATGGTGCCCACCACCCAGTCTCACCAAAAAGCCGACTTGGACACAAGCCTCCTCCGCCCCAAAGGCCAGACCCAGGGACCCATGGACACCCCCGTGTCTATCCCCCACCAAGGTTCAGCCTCCTAACTTTCCCATCCACAACAGTCAGATCACCTCAACTATACTGCCCACGTACTGAGCACACACCCCGCCCCTCCATGACCCACCAGGCCATGGGGGCCCCACACTAGTTCTCTGTCAGCTCCCCAGGAAAACAGGCCCCGAGGGGTGACAGGCAGGTTGGGTTGGGCACAGTGCTTGGCTTCCCAGCACTCTTTCCCCCACTCTAGAAAGCTTGGAATGAATGCACACCTGGGGTTCACAGTGAGGCCTTGTGGGAGAGGACAGGAGCCCCCATCTCCTCTTACCCATTTTCCTTTCTATCCTATCACACAAGGCAGCAGCCACTGCAGCATGAGGCTAGAAAGGCACCTACCAGGACCCAAACACAAACCTAGCTTGGCCCCAAACCTCCAGTCCTCAAAGCAGATTCCTGTCTGTGCCTCTCCCATTTCATTCACCCCAGAGCCTCTGGCCTAGGGACTTGGCTAGGCCACACAGCCCGCCAAGGCAGTGCAGGGTGTTCAAGGGGGCCAGCCCAAGTTGCTGCTATCCTAGAGACTCTAGAAACTGCCCCAAAGGTCTGGCAGAATGTCTTCTGCCCTCCATCCTGTCTCCATCACCACTCTACTTACTCTCTGGAAATGGGACAGGGACCAGACTGTCAGGCTTCTTCCAAATCACCATGCATGGGCCAGAAAAGTTCCCCAGAAAACAGACATGAATTCACCTGTCCCCCAGGGAACAGGCCTGGCACCCTCTGTTCAGTTCAAAGCTGCAGGATGGAGGGAAGGGGGTCCCTAAGGGTCATTCCTTCCTTCCTGATTCCCAAAGGCTAAGCGCCACTTCCTAGGCCAACAGTGCTCTTGCCCTCCCCGTTTCAGTGCCTTCCCCCCACACCTGCAATGACCTTGGAGCCCAAGCCAGAACTTTGTTGCTCTCCAGCGCGCTCTCTGGCTCCCTGGAGTGGGACTAGGGGCTCAGGCCCAGATGAGGAATCTGCCAGGAGCGTACCCTGAGGCGAGGAAGTACAGACACCCTCCCTCACTCCCTAGTCTCAAGAACACTCTGTGGAGAAGAGCTGTGAGTCGTGACCAGTAGGAGTTTAAAGTTATCATAAGGCCTAAGGGCCAGCCACAATGAGCAGGAGAGCTCAGAGGCTTTGGTAGGGGAGGGGGACAACTCAATTACTGCAATTCTAGCTGTCCAGCTAGCCCTGAGCTGGGAGAGGCCTTGCAAGTCACAGGTGCTCTGAGGCTATCAGTTTCCTCATCTAGAAAATGGGAAGGGTCACTCCTCCTGCTCACCGCCTCCAGGCTCAGATCATGGCAGCGACCCTGGTCCAGAACTCTGCTCTGTTCAGAAACACCACGCCTCACTTCCACCCAAGACCTTGGTGCAGCCTCATCCCCTGGACCTGAATCCCAACCCCTCACCTCTGTTTCCAAACTCACACTCTGGAGGAAGGAGGTTCACTCCCACTGGCGAGATGAAGGCACAGGGTAGAGGCAGCAGTTCTGAAAGAGCCCAAACCACAGTAACAGTGGCTGCCCCTCTGAGGAGAAGCAACGGCCCAAGAGGACCAGGTGGGGGGGGGGGTGTCACCTTTGTCTGGATGTCCCATTCTGGGGGTTCAACTCGAGCAGTGCTCAATGTCCCCATCTACCCCTCACAGCCTGTGATGAAGGCAACACTACCCCCTCAGTGGAATGGAACATTCCAACTGAAGTCAGATGGACAGACCCAGGCCAGTTACCCTTGCTAGAGGTGTGGGGGCAGGGGACTGCAGGAGGCAGGCTCCTGCCTGGTTCCCTTGGACTTTGGTGGATTCAGATTTGAGTTTTGGCAAGTCCAGGAAGGCAGGGGCAGAGTCGGGACTGTCTGCCCCCAACAAGCACTCCCTGAGCTCCAAAGGCCTTGCAGCTAGGCACAGGTCCTGCCAGAGACACTGAGAAATTTGCTCTTGCTCCCTGAGTGGAACTCTCACTGGGTGCCAGGGTCACTCCTCCTGAAGCCTCAGCAGAGAGCGAGCCTCAGAGGCCTCACGTCCTAGATCTACCTGCCTGCCTTTCTGAGCCCACTTTCACCCCAGAAGGCAGGTCAGGGTGGCTATCCTCCTGCAGCTCACCTGAAGCACACACAGGCAGCTGTGTCCAGGGGGGCCACCAACCCTTCCTCCCTGTGTTCCAGGGCTAGAAGCAGACAAAACTTCAAGAACTGGGAACAGGGAAAATGGATTCTTGCCAGGTGAAACGGGCGAGCCATCTTGGGGAAGCTTTGGGCAAGAGAAGAGGAAGCAAAGAGAAGGGCCCAGAGATGCTTATTTAAAGCCAAAGGCCAGGGAAAGGGGGGGGATGGGAAGCTACTCCCCACAGCGTAGGGCTTCCTTAAATCTCCCAAATGAAAGGAACCCTGACGCGGGGATGGGGCTCTGCGAAGGGCAGCATGTCAACCCCTCTCCACCCCTTGGGTGAGGAACTGAGAACACCTCCGGTCCCACCCAGGAACAGGGCCGCACGGAGGAAATCACCCGGAGCTCCCCGCACGGAAGAGGACACAGAGCCCTAGCCCAGCGTTTCCCCTTTCGGCTGGAGGGCCAGGAGATGCTACCAGACGCGGCGGAAATGAGCTCATCCCGCGCGGCCCGTGACCCACCATGTGGGGCAGGAGAAGCCCACAACGGGATGGAGACTGTGGGGTGGGCTCTCCGGCCCAGGGTCCCGCAGTTCCATGGGGCGACGGGCACCCATGACGCCCGCTCCAGGGAGCCCACCGCTCCCTGGCTCACTCACCCGCAGGTGGTCCCGTCCGGCGGGGCTTCAAGGACCGACTCTCAGGGAGGTGCCGCTCCTGAGAGGAAGCCTCCGCAGGCAGGGACTCGGCTCCGGCCACTGAGGCCGCCGGGGGCGGGGACAGAGGGCGGACATGGACAACGGCAGACAGACGGCTCCTCCCTCCCGCCGGGCGCAGCCACCGCGCCCAGGGCCCCTTTAAGGGGAGGGGCTGGGCCCAGGGACCAACCCCGCCGGTCACGGGATTTCCCAGGCAACACCTCCTGGGCCTGGCTGAGGGCCTCCCTCCCTGCCCACCCCCATCTGGGTAGTCTCAGGCCTCCACGTGCGGCTCACCTCACCCAGGGCCCGCTTTCCAAGACTGAGAATGCCACCCCCAGCCACCTTTTCTGGCCCTTGAAGCACACACAAGGCATCTAAGTCTGGCTCTTTCTCACACCCCATCCTGAAGGTACAAGCTGCCCCTACTCCCACCCCTGCCCCCTCTTCTCCACTATCATACAAAACACCTGCCACACAAAATCTGGCACAGGCCACGGAACCAGACCCAGTAAGCAAGGTCCCCTCTGGCCTCGGGCTGTTTAGAACCCGTGCTGCCAGCGGGGACAGAGGGGGATGCTCTTAGCTCATCAGGCTCTTAGCTCCACACGGAGCCTGCTTCCCTTCCTCTCTCTCTCTGCCTGCCTCCCCGCCTACTTGTGATCTCTGTCTGTGAAATAAAGAAAGAAAAAAATCTTTACAAAAACTTTAAGATAAAAAGGTACATCCCTAGCTTCTTATGACCATGGAGAATTTGGTTTCTTTCTTTTTTTAAAGATTTTTCATTTTTATTTATTTATTTGACAGAGATCACAAGTAGGCAGAGAGGCAGGCAGAGAGAGAGGAGGAAGCAGGCCCCCCACCGAACAGAGAACCTGACTCAGGGCTCCATCCCAGGACCCCAGGACCACGACCAGAGCCGAAGGCAGAGGCCTCAACCCACTGAGCCACCCAGGCGCCCTCAGAGAATTTGATTTCTAAAGCAACATTTGGAACACAAAGAAAGAGCCTTCTGGCTTATGAGATGGGCGGCTGGGCCCAGGCAGCCTGGAAAAGGACATGGTGCTGGGCAGACAAAGCCCCACACACCTGTCCTCCTCATCTGGCTCTATCCCAGCAAGTGCTCTGTGAAAAGCTACAGGCCTGGAATGCTGCAGTGGGGAAGCCAGAAGACAGTTAGGGTTCCTCCTCATGGACTTCCATAACATTGGAATACCACAATGCACAGCAGTAACAGGCCAGCAGGGATGCCCTATGTTGAGTTCCAGCACCCTGGGGCTCAGATTCCAGCACAAGGCTGGTGAATACCCAACATGGGCTGTACCTGGCAGCTCCTAGTCTGGACCCACAGCTTTCTCTGAGCCTCAGTGAGACTTAAGAGACCCTCTTCTCACCCCAGAACT